ATGAAAGCTTCGATTAAATCTTGATAATTTGTTGTAGGATATCAGATGCATCAAATCAAAGAACTTGATTCTTTTAAAGGTATGTATCATTTAATTTGTTTATTATAACTTAAAAAAGATTTGTAGAATTTGTTCTTGTTTTTGTTAACTATGGATTAGATCTATGAAAATTTTTAGATAAAAATGATAATTTTTATATTTTGTTTTTAGTAGTGAATTTCTGATTCTCCTAACTCTATCCAAAAATGAAAAAGATGATGATGAAGAGTTATAGTTCAGAAGCTCATACTTCTCCAAAGATGGGATGTGAGATTCTAGGAAAAACTTCTGCTGGTGAGCATCTTTATCGCAAAGCCCTCGCTGGAAGGAAAATAGAAGAAAAACGTATTTTTATTTTAACACAGCAAAGGAAATCGGGTTCTTTATCTCAAACAACATAAGCTTTCCTTAGAATCTCACCATCCCATCTTATTTAAGAAGAATACTGGAAACTGGAGAAGTAGGCTCACCAAATAAAGTTTTTCCATTTCTTTCAACAAAAAATTATAAGTTTTCTCTGTTGTATTGTTTTTTTTTTTATTGTTGAGCTGGAGACTGGAAAAATCAGTGGACTAAGATTGGTTTGTTGCGAAGAAAATCAGCTGGTTGATGGTTGGACCGGGTTTTGGTTTTGTACCTGAGGTCAGTTTCCAACAAAGATTGATTCGATTAGGTAAAGCATATATGCCGAGAATGGAGATTCGGCCGGGTTAACCAAAATTGGTTAACAGGAGGAACCGATTAGAGGCCATTATATCGGATTGAACAGGAGGTGGAAGTGGAGGTGGAGGGCGGTTAAGTTAGAGTAAAAGGAGCTGGTCAAACTTTAACCAATTTTAAATGTGGGAGATTCGGTGTGTTTGGGTTTGGTGACGCTGGAGGATTGACTGAAGAAGTTGAACCGAGTCCGGTTAACTGTTGAACAATGGCTCTAAAATCGGTTTTGTTGGTATTATAAACCAAAGCTTGAGGACTTTGTTGTTGATTTTGCTGGGTTGATCTAAACGAAAGTTGTATTAAGATTTGGATAATATTCATTGGTTGTTTAGATTGATTATTGATCCAACTAAAATTTATAAAAGATATTCTGTTTAAGGGTTTTGAATTATTCAAATTCCCATTACACACACATTAACATTACAGTATTGTTACTGAAACAGAGACTTTAATCTCTTTTTCAAAAATTTATGTTCATGGTTGAGTACAAATCTAAACTACTAATGATACAGAACTCAAAGTGATTGATACAAATAGCAATTAAAAGACTTTAGCACTCCTACAAAATATCATGTACTGGAAGAACACAA